GGTGAAGATGTTCAGACACACATCCTCCAGCCTCCTGGTCCACAGCGGCCCCTGTGAGGTGTTCAGCTGGAGGCTAGTAGAGGGCAGAGCCGCCAGCTTCCGACATGGCCCTAAAGGCCCCCCGTGGGGGGGAGTGAGCACAAGGCTGGGCCTTGGCCCTGTGTGTGGTGGTGGACGTGGGGCAGGTTCAGCAGCCCTGGTTGGGCAGGAAAACCATAAGACCTCACCCAGGAAACCGTCTGGGTGGAAAATAGAGACTGGGAGACCAGGTCCAGATGGATCATAGAGATAGAAGGTCAGGTCGAAGGATGCGGGAAGGGAGATGAGATAGAGGTGAATTGGACAAGGGACACTGGTGGACAGCAGACCGTATAGGAGGTCAGGGTGGGTAGGAAACGAGACAAAGTCTGGGCAGACCATAAGAGACTGGTTGGTGTGGACAACAGGAGACAAGGTCAGGGTGGGGAGGGGACATGGATCTGAACAAAGTCAGGTTCCAATAAAATTGAGCGAAGGACACGAGATGCTTCTATGCCCCCCAAGCACCAGCATCCCCACAGCTGTGGGCCAGGTTGCCTTCAGGGTTCTTCTTGGTTGCGCCCCCCCCACCTCTCCCTCTAGATCCGAGGAATGGGCATGAACTCCCCGGAACTGCTGCTGCTGGTGGAGAACTGTCCCAAGGGGGCGGAGACACTGGTCACCCGGTGTTTACACAGCCTCACGGACAAAGGTGCCCCCAAGGGACCCCCTCTCCCCCTCATCCATTCCTTCCACCCCCACACCCCCCATGACCTCTGAGGCTCAGAACCAGGGCCCTGGCAGGCTGCTCCCACCCTGAGCCCAGCCCCGCCCCAGGTTTTCCTCTGCTCACAGCACAGGTGTGGCACACCTGACCCGAGGACTGCCCTGAACCCAGGTGCCCTCCCCATGCGCAACGCCCCCCAGCCCCTGCTCCTCCTCCCCCTGCAGTCCCGCCCTCCCCGGAGCTGGTGAAGCGCGTGCGGGACCTGTACCACAAGCGCCTGCCCGACGTTCGCTTCCTCATCCCCGTGCTGAACGGCCTGGAGAAGGTAGCGCCTGCAGCAGCAGCAGCAGCAGCAGGAGGGGGGAATTGGGGGATTATCGTGCCCGGCATGGCAGCGCTGGGGGTGGGAGGGAGGAGGATACCGGCCTCGCCCAGCTGTGGTGGGTCCGATCCTGCCCCTCAGTCTCGACTGATGAGTGCCCCCCCCCCCCCGTAGAAAGAGGTGGTCCAGGCTCTGCCCAAGCTCATCAAGCTCAACCCCATTGTGGTGAAGGAGGTCTTCAACCGCCTGCTGGGCACACAGCACGGTATGTGAGCCACCCACCGTCTGGGGGCCACTGGGACCCCGGGGCCTGGGAGGGGGGTGGGGGTGGGGTAGAGGGGAGGCCTCATCTTCCCCCTTGCTCCAGCCCTTTGTCCCCAAGCCCTAAGTGGAGGGAGCCTCACCTTCCTCCCATGCCCCTAGTCTGGGGATCTCTCTCCTCTTCCATGCCCATGTTGTGTCCCCTACCCCACCCCGATGTCACCTGCTACAGGTGAGGGGAACTCAGCCCTGTCCCCCCTGAACCCCGGAGAGCTACTGATCGCGCTGCACAACATCGACACTGTGAAGTGTGACATGAAGTCCATTATCAAAGGTGAGGGGCTCCTGAGGACCCTCCTTGCCCACTGCGCGCAGACCCACGGCTGGGGCTCGGCGGGTCACCAGCGTGGGCCCGGGAGGCGGGGACAGCCAGCCTGCCGCCTTGCTCTCCGTGCCCACCCCCGCGTCCGCATAGGTATGAACACGCTGGGCTGCTGACCACAGGGTCTCCAGTGTGAAACAGCCATGCGGCCTTCTGCTCCCGTCAAGCTCCCCAGTCTCCGAAGCCCACAGGGCGGTTACGTCCTGTCCTGGAGGGCTGCCACGAGTGGGAACTGACGATGGCCGTGAGTCAGTGAGCAAGGGCCCTGCAGGCCTGCTCCTGTCAACCCGGGACACAGACTCCAGAGAGGTTAAGGAACTTGCCCAGTGTCACCCAGCGGAGAGGTAATGTCAGGCGGAAGGACTCAAGACGGTGGGACCTCAGCTCTCCTGTTGGGCTCAAGAGAAGTGCCACCCACCAGGGGCTCCGTCTTTAGCCCCGTTTCCAGGGAGGCTTCTGGCCCAAAGCCTGCCTCTTCCTCGGAGAGAGGTGGAGAGCCTCAGGGAGGGCTGCCTCCACATGGCTCCTTCAGCCACTATGTTGGCTATGTTCACAAGCCCTCAGCCCCTGGGTCACAGTTGAGAGAGGGCTAGGGAAGGGGGCGAGACTAAGGGTGAGTACCGAGGAGTGTGACTCCTCAGGGGCCCCCACCCAAGGAAGATGTGCTCACATGGGTTTGTCAGTCAGGGGGTTCATGGACTCACACCCCAAAGCCAGTAATGGGACTAGTTCTCAGGCCCCTACTCTGTCCATCCCCCGAGGTACCCGGGAGCACCCTGCCTCGGGTCCCACAGGCAATCAGTGGCCAGGCCCGGTGGCCTTTTCTCACAAGGCCTCCCCTTGTGGTGGCTGTCATTGCCCTGAGGCTTGTCCCCCAGGGCGGCCTGTTCTCTGCCACAGCTTGGGCATCTCTTCCCACCCGAGCCCCGGGCCACATCCTGGCAGCACTGGGAACCTCCCCAGGCTGGCAGAAGCCCAGAGTGGACTCCGTGCATGCTGGGGTACCAGTGCCTGGGGACACGCGGGCAGCCTCACCAAGAGCACCCAGGGCTCGCTCCGCCCCTCACCACACAGGGCCCAGAGTGGGGGGCAGGGGGCATCTGAGAGGCTGGCAGGAGAAACCTTTAAGGTAGGTTTGGTAATGGGACAGGAAGAAGGTAAAAGTAGAAAACAACGTCAAAGGTTTATTTCAGAACTCCTGGACGAGGTTCACGGGTCCCTAATTGGGGCCAGAGAAGTCACACTGCCCGGGCGAGAGGTGCAGAGTTTTATAGTCCGGGTCTTAGGGAAGGAGGAGGTGGGGGACTTTCCATTGTGATTTTACTGTCTGCAAATCAGGGGCTGAACAACAGTGTTCAGTGCTATCTGCAACGGCTAGCCTCCTGCATCTGGGTCTGGAAGGCCACGGCTAGGGTGGGGGTGGGGGAGGTGGAGCGGGAGGCTTGGTTTGTCACAGCGTCCTTGGCCTACCCTGCCAGCTCCTGCTTCTGTCTAACAAAAACCTTCCCGGGAAACAGCTCTGGGAATGGGGTTGAGCCTGGTCTCTGCCGGGCTCAGTCCCCAGGGCCGGCCGGTCGGAGGCCCAGAAGGCTGAGCAGGCAGGACCAGGGTGCCGGGCAGTGAGGGCTGGGTGCTTCCTGGCTTTCTAGCAGGTGTTTGGCATGCCGACTGCCCCCTCCCACTTTGCCTAGATTCCCAGCCGCCTCCCTCTTATGCTTCCAACCCCTCCCACCCATCCCCCAGCTTCCCCACCTCACCCCCCTCCCCTGGCCTCCTAGTGCAGGCCCCTCTTCTGGCTCAATAAAAGGCTTCCTCTGGATACTCCCGTGGCAAGTTGTATTTGGGGAAGATGGGTGACTCTTGGAGTCCCCCCCATTAGCCCTGCCCAAGACAAGGCCAGACCTCTGGGGGCTGAGCTGGGGCACCCATCCTGGCCTAGGTCCCCTCCTCTCACCCCCGGTCCCTGCCACCTGCTGCCCTGGTCACGGTGAGAGTCGCCCTCTTCAGGCCAGCCTGATGATGGCAGGATGTCACTCCTGACCCTGTCCTCTGGTGGGGAGCTCAGAGTCACAGCTGCCTGCTCGCCACCCCCTCAAGCCAGAACGGGTCTCTGGGGCTTGGAAATGGTTTCCCACCTGCCCACTCCCCCCGAAAGAGAGGGCAGGGGTCTTCCCTTCCTGCCCAGGATGGGGCTTTCCAGGGACGGGACCAGTGTGTCACCTTCCCCACCCCGCCCGCCAGTGGGGGCCTGTGCGGGCCTGTGCTGGCTTCAGCTCTGCAGCCGGGTAGAGGGGACAGGCCTGCTCTCCGCTCCTCGCAGCCACCAACCTGTGCTTCGCGGAGCGGAACGTGTACACGTCCGAGGTGCTGGCCGTGGTTATGCAGCAGCTGATGGAGCAGAGCCCCCTGCCCATGCTGCTCATGAGGACCGTCATCCAGTCCCTGACCATGTACCCCCGCCTGGGCGGCTTCGTCATGAACATCCTGTCCCGCCTCATCATGAAGCAGGTAACCAACCGGGCCCAAGGCCCTGCACCACCACCACGCTTCCCCTCCCAGTACCGTGTGTGGTACAGCATGGGGGGGGGGGGCCGGGTTCAATTCCCGACCAGGGCACCTTGAGAGCAGCTGCCACCCGTCTGTCCCTTGGGGCTCCAGTGCTGCTAGGATGCCAAAGAGGTTTCAGCGGAGCTTTCCAACAATGGGAGACTAGGAAGAAAGGCCTGGTGATCCACGTCTGAAAATAAACCCATGGAAACGGTGCAGATGGAGATCATTAGGTTGGCAGCTGGTCTTGGGATGGGACTGCCTGCCCAGAGCCAGCTCGACAGCAGCTCCCACTAGGGACCTGGTCATTGTAGAGACGCTGCTGTGATGGGGCCCATTCTAAGGATGAGGACACTGAGTCACCAGGGAAAGGTTACAGGAGGGACAGCAGGGGCCAGGAACTCCACAGCTCCTGGCTGGAAACGGGGCTGGGGGCATGGGATGGGGCAGGCCGGATGCCACCCCCAGCATGGCATCTGGCCAGGACCCGGGGTGCCCGTGGCCAGCAGGAGGCCTGAGTTGTCAGTATACTCAGGATTGGAGCATTCCAGGAAGCGGGGTGTGACAGGCGGCAGATTGTAGGGTACAGTGGCCTCGGACAGATACGCCTGGGCTCTGGTCTCAGCCCCCACCCCTTTAAGCCCCACGTGACCTCTGGCTGATGCCCAGACTGCCCCGGGAGTTTGTGTGGGGCAGCCAGCCTTGGCCTCCAGGGCTGCGGGGAGGATGTGGTGCAAGCAGGGTTCTGGCACTTTTGCGGGCCAGCCCAACTGCCTCACGGCTGCCCCTTCAGGTGTGGAAGTACCCCAAGGTGTGGGAGGGCTTCGTCAAGTGCTGCCAGCGCACCAAGCCGCAGAGCTTCCAGGTCATCCTGCAGCTGCCACCCCAGCAGCTGGGCGCCGTCTTCGACAAGTGCCCTGAGCTCCGCGAGCCCCTGCTGGCCCATGTCCGCTCCTTCACGCCCCACCAGGTAACCCCCAGAGAGCCAGGGGCAGGGGCAGGGGGCTGGGCGGCCAGAGGGGGAGCCCAGCTGGGGGATGCACACACCGTGTCTCCTGTGAGCCCCCCTGAGTGCCCCCTCCGGCCCTCCTGCTGCAGCAAGCGCACATCCCCAACTCCATCATGGCCATCCTGGAGGCCAGTGGCAAGCAGGAGCCCGAGGCCAAGGAGGCTCCCTCGGGGCCCCTGGAAGAGGTGAGGGTCCTGCAGCCCACCCACACAACCCCCAGCCAAGAATGCTCTTGCTGACCTGGTGGGCTGGGGCGGGGTGTTAGTTGCCCACACAGCCAGAAGCTGCTGCACTGGCCCCACCCCCCACCCTCGGCTTTGCCTGCCCGCTAACTTCTGAGACCCGGGTCCACCTTTTCTGCACCCCAGGATGACCTGGAACCCCCGGTGGTTGCTCCCCGGCCCCCCCAGGACCTCATGGGCCTGCGGCTGGCCCAGGAGAAGGCCCTGAAACGGCAGCTGGAGGAGGAGCAGAAGCTGAAGCCGGGGGGCCTGGGAGTCCCCGCCTCTGCCCCCACTGCCTCCACCGCTGCCCCGGCCCCTGCCCTGCCCGCCACCCCAGCCTCAGCCCCAGCCCGGCCGAGTCCACTCCCACTGCCACCGGAAGATGCCATGGACTTCCGGGAGGAGGGGCCCGAGTGCGAGGCCCCAGCCATATTTATCAGCATGGACGATGACTCCGGGCTGACCGAGGCCGCACTCCTGGACTCGAGTCTCGAGGGCCCCCTGCCCAAGGTAGGGGACAGTCGGGGCCGGGGAGATGCGCGCGCG